CCTGAACACCACAGAGATGGTGATATCCTCGTCAAAATACCAGATGCAAAGAGCCGAGGAGAAGGCCGAACCAGAACCAGTCACATACAGGACTGATTTGACCTGCCGAAAGAGGAGCCGCAGTAAAACGCCCCGGGTTCGGACACCTATCAAGCAGCGTCTGAAAATAAGGCTGGGCCGGCCACCAAGGAACCATAAGGACTGCTCTCGTGGGAATGGGCTGCAACTGAGCCAGAACTCGAAGCAATAGCTGAACCAGGAGAAGAGGAACAGATACCCCCACCTCAACCAGTTCTGCCGAAAAGCATCCACCGTGAATGACTCGCAGGTGGGTAAGGGCGCCGCATAAAATGGGCGACACCTAGACCACGATGACTCGAAGACGTCCACGGCCAGGAGTCCATACGTCCGACATAGCCAACAAAACGAGTCAGCGACGACTGGCCAATCCGCGAACAGAGGAATGAACCGAGACAGCTGTCCACCAGGACGCAGGACACACCCCGGACATGAACCTCACGGTTAGCCAAACCCCGAGAATCCAGCAAACGAGTCACTACGGAACCAACCCCAAAGGTCAACACCTAAGAGAAACCCTGTGGTTCAGGCAAGAACCGCCAGAGAACAGTCCGAACGGAGCTGAATGGTAGAGCACCGAGTGACCCAAACCCTCCGATGCATAAACCAGACAACCATGAACTCCTGAACCCTGCTGTGAACCCAACGGACGGACAGACTCCACCATCCCCGTCCGACCTGGTGAGCACTGGTCACAAAGCCCCAGCCGAGAGATGACCCGTCCATGAGCACATCGAGCGAAGGCTCGGGTAGGTGCCAAGGCACGGAACCCCGAAAACCCCAAAGAGGAAGCTGGTGACACAGCACCAACACAAGATCCCCGGAGGAACGAACCCAACGAATGCAAGAGGCGGAAGGGGAGTCTCCAAAGGAACCAAACAGACACCAAAGCCAAGCCCGACCCCGCGGGCAGACCAGCAAGTCGAAGTTCAGACTCGCACAACTGCTCAAGTAACCGCTGAGCAACCCGGGACCCCCTCATGAACAGCCGAAGGTGGGACCACAGCCGCAGTAACACTTCTGGAGGGAAAGACAATGAGTGGCCCAATAGCCCTAAACAAGTCCCAGGTCCGAACCCGGGATGGAAACAGATGGAATGGCCTCCCGATCACCAGGAAACCAAACCCGGCGATATGGAAAGAACCACACCCCTGGCGAGCAGACAAGCGGACTGACTGGAAGCCCACACCAGCCAGTCGTCGAGGTAGGCCAGACACTGAATCTCAAGCATACTCAGACAGGGCACTAAGATCCGGAAATACACATACATATACACATACACATACACACAAGGTATGTTACACACACACGTGTGTATACACATGTGCACACACACACAGCATACACATGTACATGCTTACACACCATGAGCGTAACTCTCATCCTGTAACTACACTTAGGTAATTAGACACATACATTTTAAAAGAAAAATACAAGTCGCTGACCAGTGGGCAGAGAGCACCACACCGGCCAGGCAAAGAAGGCACAAAACTGCATCAAAAGGCCCACCTCGACAACGAAACCTCAAAGTCGCAGCACGACCACAACATGTGTCAAGACCCAAAAAGATCAGTCTGCAAGCCAGGAAGAACCCGGAACTCCAGAAGGCAGAACCAGGTCACACGAGGAAACATAGCCCCCTGAACCCACAAAGGGGCCCAAGAGGAAGAAACCTCCGGAACGGAACCAAAGAACCCAAAGGAACCCAGAATCGAACCAGGGGAAGCCCGAACCACCACATTTGACGGCGGAGAAACACCACAGAAAGGCAAAGCACAGCCCCCAGACAGAACCCCCTGGGAAACGGTCATAACAGACCGAAAACCGAGGGACAAGGTGTGGGAGCAAGCATAACAGACAGGGACACAGCCCAAACCCAAGGGCCCAGACCCAAAACATACAAAAAGGAAGCCCGGTGTAAAATCAACACTCAAACGTTCCCAGAGGAACAGGAAACAGGCAGAAAACACCAGAAAAGCAAAGAAACAACAACAGGAGAATAAAACCCCACACCAGAAAAGCAAAGACACAACAACAGGAGAATAAAACCCCTGAAAAAAGGTGAAAACTCACCCAAGAAGCTCGCTCGCACACCCAAGCGCATGTAAACAAACCGCAATGACGCCCTGGTGGCCACACCGGGAAACTGGCAGACGAAAATGGCCGCCAGAACAAGAGGGCTGTGACCGACGCTAAAGATACGAAAAGACGCCAGCAAAAGTGGGAAGCAAGCAGACTGGATGGGTGAAAAACTCCGCCCAAAAGCAGAAAACGCAGGCAGGGGCAAACCGCCCCAGAACTGCTAGCAGGCATCCCCCACAGCCATGGGAACCAGCAACAGAGGCCCTGGGGCAGAGCTGTCCTCCAAGCCCTCCGCCCTTAAAGAAAAGCAAGAGTCCATGGGAAAGGCAGCAAGAAAGTGCCGCTGGTAAGACCCAGAAGCCTTGGCAACAGGAAGAGGCTCGAAAACCTCCGTCCCCCAACCCGAACGGGGCAGCCCCCAAAAACCGCCCGAGTCTCAGCCCCAATTAAACCCCGCCCCGACCCTGAAACCCGCAGACGGTCTGGAGCCGGGAACAGGGAGGGAAAGAGGCGAACAGCACCTAACCAAAACGGGGCGGCCTCGGGGCATAAGAGTGGGAAGCCAACCTAGCATGTTGCAGCAACCTAACCTAGCTTGCAACACGGATGCCGCCTGTACTCTGAACAGTAATAACATCAGGAGAGTACTGGAAAACGAGCAGAGAATCTCTCTCGCAAGATTCCAGGTCAAGGTGTCAGTGACCCAACAGGCAGCACGACGGAGGTAAAAGTGGCGACTCACCCGGAGACAAGGGCACAGCAACCAACGATCCCGTACAAGACGGGTTGGAACCCGGAAGACACATTCAATGTACCCCTGAGCCCAGACAGGGGTTTCCAGGGCCCGTAGGCTGACTGCTACGGGAAGCCCGGGCAAGGTGTTGCTAAGAAACCCAAAAATAACAAGAGGGTAGAGGATAACACTGAAAACCCCTGCGACGTGTACAATCACAGGGGCCTAGCAGAGGGCCGCCAAACACTACCAGTGGAAGTATAGCCACACTAGGCAGACCCCCACCAGGCTAGAAAATAAAAACAAAAGAAAACCCCAACAAAAGTACACCGTCTCCAGATGCAACAGGAACCGGTCGCCGCTTAGGTGGCAGGCTGTGCAACACCTTGACGCCCTAACCAGCACAATACTAATCCCTACCCAGGGCCAAACAAGGGCCCCAAGGGCGAGGCAAATGCCGAGCAGCAAGAACCTCTACGGGAATGGTTCCCGATCGTCCCAGGGAAGATAACCCTGTTATGCAAGGGCAGTGCTCACAGGGCGCTTAGGGAAGTCAAGTACTAAGCGCATGCAGCCCCGGCACTGATGAGGTACTCCTGGCCACCGCACAATACAACACACGGCAGTGAACGCCAGACAAGGCAAACACCGCCTAGGAAACTGAGGTCAGAGAAGCATCTATCCCGGTGACATTAGCTTAAAAACTGAAGCTTGGCAGCCGGCGCGGTAGGTATGGGGCTCCCCCCCTCCCCCTCTCGGGGCGGGGAGGGCTGTGCTGACGATCGGCATGGTAGTAAAGTGTGATGTTTGCTTGTTTCCTTGTGATTGTAAGGAGTTTCTACCTCTCTTCTAATGATTTTGTTGGTTTGCCTTTATGTACCACTTTACTGGTCTGCCTACCCCTATCACTTTGTAGAAAAAAAGAATTGATTTCTACTTCATTCCTGCTCTCATTTAAACGTTTTGCCTCGGTGAGGTTCAGTTTCAGCTTCTCTGTCTTCTTTTGAAAGATCTCATCTTAATGACCATACTTTCCCTACCTCATCACTTTGCAATTTTCTAGCATTCCTTAGTACTTCTTCCATCTGTTTGGCACCATTCAGGGTGATCCTCAAAGGTCGAACTTTCCCTTTTACGTACTTTCCAATCCTGCTGTAGTCACAGACATTCGCTATGGTATTAAGACCTTCCACGAGGCCACCAATTTTATCTACTACTTTCTTCTTCTACAGCTCTTTCTGGCCTAGATGTTATCTCCTTTTCTTTGCAACCAAAAATTATCAGACTTCGATCAACTGTGTTTTGTACCAATTTAGGATTTGATGCCAGTTCCTTTCTCACTTCCAGCCTAATGTTTGTTTTATCATGGTTGCTGCAGTGTTTGACTTTCTTTACTGCCGCTTCTATTTTTTCCTTCTCCTTGGCCACTTGTGCATAGGCGAGTTGCATATCCTTCTTGCACTGTTCTATTCCCTGTGTAACTTCCTCAATCTGTACTGACAAAAGCTGTTTTTCCTGTTGAATTTCCTTACCTAGCCTATCGTAGTCATTTAAGTTTAAATTTGCTTTAACTTCATCCAAAGCTATTTTTAAGAGTTTATTTTCCTCTTCCATGGCTTTGCAATTTGTTTCCTATTGATTCTCATCCTTGCATAAGTCTTTCACTAACCCCTCAAGACCTAAAACCTTGCCACTCAAGTGCTCATTACTTTCTTTCAATTTTCTGATTATTTCTACATGATAGTTCACTATAATATCTAATTTTGCCAATTTGTTGTATAGACTACTTATATCAATGTTTTCTTCATTAAAACCCCCAAAATCTAGCTCTGTTTTGTTTTCCTACTTGCTGGTAGCCATCTTGAATGTTGTTGTCTGCACTGTAAACACTAGGGTCACTTTTTCTCATCCAATTTTTCACTTCACTTTGCACATTCGTGTTACAGTATCTCGCGTATTTTTCAAAAGCACTATAACTATGTTCCTTGGGACACCATTCACCATCATCAACCTGTACTACAATACTTAGGAATTGTGAAATATCCCGGAGCTCCTCTGATACATGTGTTATCACTAGCAGTCACCTTTTTTTCTTTACTGCTTACAGGGACCTGCACTGTGTCTATACAATAATGGAATTTTTACGCAAGAAGATTGGTATGGAATACGCAAGCTAAGTGATAGTATAAAAAAAGATGATCCCCTGAAAGTTGGACAGTTTGGTTTAGGGTTCAAGTCAGTCTTTCACCTTACTGGTAAGTTCTCAAAAAGATTGAGAAATTTTATTTTCACCCAAGGAGACTCAGTAATTTATTTACTGGGTGCTCCCAAGAGCACCCAGTAAATAAATTACCCACCCACATACTTAGATTTTTAGAAAATATAATGTATGTAAATAAGAGATTACAATAAAATTTTATAGTTTTTACCATAATTTGGGTTTGGATGGAGGTGGAGGGTGGGGGAAGAGGAGATGTAAAACTTTTCTGAGGGGAGTCCCGTTCGCTCCCCGGAGCTATCCAGGCTGAATGTATATGTATAACTTTCTGGCATCAAAGTGCTTGGAGTTCTTGCCTACCGGAGCCAGAACCTGGCCCCCTTAGAGAGGCAAGAGGAGCATTGGCCTATACAAACCCCCTGTGGTTGGGAGCATTCTATGTCTGCCATCGACTGGGACAGACACCCAGAAAAGCAGGCGCCCCAAAACAAACCCCTAATCTGGTGAAAATATTGCTACCGAAAACCGAACGAGTGGGCAGAACTCCCCCAAACAAAATTAGCATCAGGCAGGTTGGGGCAGAGTCTGGTCGGTTTATGACTCAGACGGTCTCGGGGGTTTTCCTCTTCCAAGGTGGCGGCAGACACATTCAAGCCTTTTCCTCCAGCCGTGCTGTACGGGGCCTGACCAGTGGGCTCCCTTCCTTAGTGTTTTGTACAGCTGCTCCGGATTTTAATTGTGGAACTGGGGCTTTGGGGGGGAACGACTCGACCCTTTTGTCCTGCCGTAGAGGTTCCCGGGGTTGGGGAGGGGTGGTTCGGGGGGCCTAGGCCCCATTTTGTTCTGCGTGGGTTTTTGTACTCTCTAAGCAGGGCTTGCAGTTCCTCAGTCTGGGGGTTTTTCCTTTCCCCTCGGCGTTCATGTTGGTTTCGGATCTACCCCTCCCTGGGTTCGGTTCCGTGCTCCTTCGGGTCTGTTGGTTCCATCATTCCTGGGGTGCTTTTCTTCCCTTTTCTCTCTTTTTCATGATTATGTTGCATACATGTTGCCTTCGTATCAGGATCCCCGCATGTTCCTTGACTCAGGGGTCTCTGGGCCATATGTGCCTCCGTGCATTTGTGCTTGCTTCTCGCAGTTCTCGTTGGTTCGTGGAACTCTTCGATATTTCCAATATTATTGAAACGTTGGTTGACTTCCGGTGAGGCTTCCCTCTAGTCCTTTCTCGGACTCATTGGTCCTCTTTCGTGCTTCTTGTCTTCTTTTGATTTTGTTTTTGCATTAATTAGTCTTCACATTGTCTCTCCTTTCTGTCTCGCCATTCCTATTATTTGTTCTGTACGCCTTGCTGGTGTCGTCCCCAGAAGACGGGTGTGCAGTTTGGTCCTCAGGTGCGGGGTCTGGGGGGTTTGTTTTTGTTTTGGGCGGTGTACACATGTTGGTGTTCCGCGTTCTTTCTAGCAGATTCTACGCCGTTCTCGCTCCTCTTATCTTTGGTCATAATCCCCTGGATATTCGGTATGTTCTGGATTTATGTGTGATGCGATCTTTTAGTTCTTTTCTCAGCTTGCGAGTGTGGGGCGGCTTTGAATGGAGCCTCCTCCCCCTCTGTGCTGAATGCACCTCGTCTTCTCCTACTGGGCACGCACCTCTGGACACTCTCCACTAGGGATGCTCCTCTTACATTGCATGGCTCTGCTGTCTTGTGGCATGGTAATGTCTCTGTTCTGCAAGTGAGATTGTACTTGCAGAACAATCTCAGATTGTTCTGCCCGACGGAATCTTGTGACTGTCGGCCAGGTGCTGGTTCTCGCTTTTTTGTGGGGTGTTAGGTGTTGTGTGTTTTGCTTGGACATTTTGCGTATGTCTTACAGTGCCTTTTCTTTGTCCTGGTTTCTTGTTCTTTGTTGTTCTGTGGGGCACAGCCACGAATTTTCGTGTTTTCTGTGGGGAGCCCCCACAGTACTTGTCTGGTTTGTTTTCCCAACAAGCTGACAAGGAATACATGAGCTACAAAATTTTGCCACATCACTTTTCAGCTTGGGCCAGAAGAAATATTTGAAGATTTTTTAATAAATAATATTAATATCTTGATGTCCCCCCATAGGGTCATCATGAGCAGCTGCCAAAACTTTCTCTCTATAGCTGGTAGGCAACATAACCTGGTGGACTATCTCCCACTCATTTGACAAGGGAGAACTCTGTGGTCTCCATTTTCTCATCAAAATCTGATCATTGTAATAGTACCCGGTTGTTGCATCTACAATCTCCTCCTTAAAGAGAGCTACATCATGACATTCTGCAAGACTGGGGTCAGCTTTCTGTAAATCACTCAAGGATGTATCCATACCTGGGTCAGATGCCATTGACCGAGGCTCAATAGTGTTTTCCTCCACCTCCTCACTACTCTCGGTAGGAGGCAATGGTAGGCTCTCCACAATGTCCTCTGCCTCATCATCGAGTCGGGCCATGAATGTGTCTGCAAGGTCCACTTGGCTTTCCCCCGCTCTGAAAGTGTCTCGTTTCCTCGGGATTTACCACCTTGGCAACCACAGGGCTGCAAAATTAGAAGCAAAATGCCATTTTCTGCATCCTCGAAAATGCAGGAACATGTTGGAGAGGGGTACATGCCGTTTTGGAACAGGGTGTAGATACTTCCACCCTAAATTATGTCAATTTTCAATTAGGGACAAAAAATGCTACAATCTTCAGTGTCCGGAATTCCATGTGAGAGGTACAGAGTGTTATAGACGGGAAGATCAATATGACACTACTGGAAATTTTTTAGAGGAAGGCAGAAACAGAGTAGTAAATATAAGAGAGAGGAACAGTCAGATGGAACCACTACAGGATTACAGAGGGGAACGGAGATACCCACAAGACTGGAATTCAAATTATCAACAAGCACACAGGTACTACACCAGACAACACCCGTCCTACTACCAAAACTAGACAAATCACTTCCAAAACGATACACCCTGGACGCAAACACAGTGACCTCCTTACCAGAGCCTCAGATATTAACACCAAGTAAGGCTTCCAGCACTTCCACTAACACAATAACATTTATATTTGCCAACATCCAGGGTATAAAAACACGTAAATCCAACAAAGTTCACTTTATAGATGGTCTCCTTCATGAGGCAAATGCAGTGTTTGCAGCCCTAACAGAAACCCACACAAAGGACTACCATGATGGTGAAATATGGATCTCAGAGTACAATCTTTTCAGATGTGATAGGAAACACCGGCTTCAGGGTGGGGTCAGCCTCTACATCAAAGACACACTCATCTGTACTGAGCTGCTAAACACCTCAAATGATATGGTGGAAGTGCTGATAATCAAAATAGAGATTTTAAATGTAGTTATTGTCCTTGTATATAAGTCACCGGAGGCAAACCCTTAGCAGTTTAAAGACCAACTAATGAAAATAGAACACTGCTTGGAAAACCTCACAAATCCAGCTCCGAACATCATCCTGCTTGGGGATTTCAACCTACGGCACCTGAAATGGAAGCACCTGGCTAATACAGTAATATCAGAAAGAATACCAGGAAGTAGCCTAAATGAACAGGCACATGCAAATGACCTGCTACGGATGTGCGACAGGTTTGCCTTAAACCAGCAAATAGTAGAACCAACTAGGAAAGAGAACACGCTGGACCTCATTTTCACTAATAATGATGAATTGATCAGGAACATAATGATTACAAATACCTGTTACTCAGATCACAACTTAATTGAAGTTATGACAACCATGGGGAGTAGACCTTCAAAACCAGTCCAGATTCCCAGTGGAGAAGATTTCAGCAAATTCAACTTCAATAATAAACAGATAAACTGGGAGCAAATAAACCAGGGCGTCACAGAAATAAACTGGGAAGAACAGCTAGAAAATGCAAACCTGAACCAGTGCCTGGAAAAAAATAAGCTCAGTAGCACTAGAAATATGTTCAAACCGCATACCTCTAAGAAAGAAGAGGAAGAGATGCAGATTGGAACGGGAATGTCGTTCCCTATATAGGCGAAGAAAACAAATCGCGGAACAACTTGAGAGTCGCACCCTATCTCAAGAATGGCGAAGAAGGTTAGGTAGAGAAATAGAAACAATTGAATGGAAGCTACAAGAATCATACAAAACCCAGGAGAGGCAAAGAGAGCAAAAGGCCATCAGTGAAATAGAAAGAAATCCGAAATATTTTTTCTCCTATGCAAAATCAAGATAAAAAACCACATCTAGTATCGGGCCCCTGCGAAAGGGAGATGGAACTTTCACCGATGACAACAAAGAAATGAGCGAGCTACTGAGGACGCAGTACGACTCTGTTTTCAGCGAGCCATTAAACACACTAAAGATTGATAACCCAAAGGAATTTTTCATGGATACGATACCAACATCAAATCATATGTCCTGACCCCCCTGCTCTAAATGCCACAGTAAATACTGAGCTAAAGAAAGTCCATCTTTGGCTAACTGCCAACAAACTCACCCTTAACATTGACAAAACGTTCTATATTCTGTTTGGCAATAAATCCTCTAATCAAATAAATCTCAAAATAAACAATACCCAAATTTGTAACAAATTAGATGGCAAATTCCTTGGCGTTCTCATCAACCACAAGCTGAATTTCCAGGGACACATTCTAAATATATCAAAAAAAGTTTCAAAAACTGTTGGCATTCTTTCTAAGATCAGATATTATGTACCCCACCCTGCCCTGGTGACTCTCTATTACTCCCTCATCTATCCATATCTCAAGTATGGTATTTGTGCTTGGGGTTCTACTACCCAAAATCATTTACGTCCTCTAATTATTCAACACAAAGCTGCTATTAGGACAATATCCAACTCTAGCCCCAGACATCACTCGGTACCCCTACTCAAATCTCTGAATATGTTAAGATATTAAGTCACTGCACATTCTCTCATGTGTATTATACATATATAAAACGCTGAACTGTAATGCCAATCCTGACCTCAAAAGATTCATTGAAGGTTGTAACAGAACCCATGAGCACCACACCAGAAATAAATACA